TATCTATCTATCTATCTATCTATCTATCTATCTATCTATCTATCTATATATATATATATCTATATATCTATATATATATATCTATATATCTATATATATATATCTCTATATATATATCTATATATATATCTCTATATATATATCTATATATATATCTCTATATATATATATATATATATCTCACCTTCTCACCTGTGAGTTGGAGCAACTGAGGCCAAGCCGCACCGCACCTCTGCCGGGAACTGAACCCGTGCCTCCACGGTGGGCAGGCACACATGCGTCACTCACACACTTTGTCTTACTAGCTGCCCAACAAAAACACCGAGCACCAAGCGTCTCTGTGGGTTTCTGCTCCATCAAAATCCCAAATCTACTGTGTAACGGCTTCGGTGAAGAAGCCCTAAGATTTTGGACGCCGTTGCGGTTTCACGTCGGGCACCGCTCCGCTCGCCCTCTAATTGTATGACGAGGCGCTCGGTGCCACAAGCAGTGGTTTGAAACTTCTCTTCCAGCTTGGGCCGATTTTCAAAGCCAAAGTTCAGTGGGTATCGATGCCAGAAGGAACGAGGCGGCGGTCTGGCCCGGCATGGCAGAAAGAGAAACATAATGTTTGCCCAGCGGTGCAAACACAACGAGGGATCTCCCTCCTTCTTCCAGATGGGGTTGGAGAGCCCGCTGCTATTCTTGCACCAGTTAAATGAGGTTAAAATGTTGGTATTTTTATGGTTCTGCCTCCCCCTCCTCTTCCACTGTCCTTCCCCCTCCTGTTGTGGTAACTGAGGCCTTGAAGTTGGCCGTACTGATGTTTGATTATTATTGTTGGCCAGCGAGGTGATGCATTCTTTGTGCTGGATGTGTTTGGGAGAGAACAGAGGTGCTAGCCCTGGAGTTAGCATCTCGGTGATAGAAGCGTGACGGCTGCTGGCCTCACAGACCTGCCAATAGTTTAACACTGACACTTCAGTCTCTGCAGGCTTTCTCACCTTTCCACCTTCACCCTCTCTCTCTCCAAACACAACTTTCTTTTCTCTTTTTTTCCCCTCTTGTTTAAAACAGAATTTAAAGTCATTACTGCATTAATTTGGATGTCTTGGAAACTCTAAGCACATTAATGTGTGTACCATTAAGTTTGAGAAACACTACCACTAATATGTGAGATCCAGGCTGTTGGCATCTTTAACTTACAAAATGTGAATAAATCGACCCTGATCATATTCCCCTTCTTCTCCAGGAGCCTCCAGGAGGTGGACGCGTATTCTCGGGGATCCAGCCAACCGGGGTGCCCCACCTGGGCAACTACCTGGGCGCCCTGGAGAACTGGGTGGGCCTGCAGAGCCAGTATCCCTCGGTGCTCTACAGCATCGTGGACCTGCACTCCATCACACAGCCTCAGGACCCGGCACAACTCAGGAGCAACATCCTGGACATGGCGGCCAGCCTGCTGGCCTGTGGCATCAACCCAGAGAGGGCGATACTCTTCCAGCAGTCTCAGGTGGGCAGAAGAGGGAGGGAGGGAGGAAGGACTGGAGGGAGGGAGGGAGGGAGGATGGATGGATGTCTGCTGTGTTTCACTACAAGCTGTAATTTGTGTGTGTCCACAACAGGATTTTCTTTACCTGTTGCCTGATTTTTGTTTCTGTTGCTACACTGGAAATATTAAGACGATTATCGGCCTAATATAAAAATCTACATGTTCTTTTTATACCTATTCTTGATAGACTGAGAATGTGACGTGAAGCATCCCCTGCTTTATGGTCTGTTTGACTCTAAATGGACCATAATGTACTAAATGAACATCATGCTGTATTGAAGAAGACTTGAAACTAGAGATTGAGACCATAAACTCATGTTTACAATGTTTACTGAGGTAATAAATCAAGAGAGAATTAGAGTCATTTTCTCATAGACTTCTATACAACCAGAGGAGTCGCCCCCTGGTGGACACTAGAGAGAATGCAAGTTTTAAGACTTCACTCGGCAGAACCGGAGGTTTCCGCCTCCTCTGCGCTGACGGCGTGGCAATTTTGTTTTCGGGGTTGTCCGTCAGTCAGTGGTCAAAAGGTTTGGCGTTTTTGGACATAACTCAAAAATTCATATGCTAAATCTGTAAATGTTAATATAATTAACCATAGATTTGTTTCTACTACAAAATATTATCATGCATGCTCCTTAATTTATCTTCTCTAATCAGAGATTTCAATTTATTTGCAATATATGAGTGCATCATAAGTGTGAATATAAACTCCTTTCTTGCAAAGTAAGATTTAAAATCATATATGAATGCCTGACACATGCATAATGTGCTCACACATTTATTTCACATGTTTGCTGTGGTTATTGAACAAAACATCAACATGATGAATTCTGCGGTGGACTTAATGTGTGTGTGTGTACATGGTTTTTAAAAAGGCAGCTTCTGGTCTCTTTTCAATATTTTCATGTAGTCATTCGGCTGTTTGTTTTACTGCTGTCCACTCTGCTGTAATGTTTACATGTTGGGCTTGCACCCAAAACGCTTATTTGATTCGCTCCTGATTCTTATCTCCACTGTAAATACACAGGGGCCATAAAAACACGTGAAGCTATTAAACATGAAATTAAGTCCGGCTTCGGCCACATGAAGGAGGTGAGAAGGAGAAGGACGTTCAGTGAGGACGGAGAGAGAAATCAGAACAGCTGGTTGATTCTCTTCTGACACGGTGTGTGTTGTCTTACTCACAGGTTTAGAAGTTGAAGTGTGTGTGTGTGTGTGAGAAAGAGTTCAATCCATCTGTTTCTCTGCCCCCCCCCCCCCCCTACACATACTCTCACACACAGTCCTATTTTTATTCCCGTTTAGCTTCATGCCACATAACTTGGCAGCGAGGCGACCCTCCCCTTGAACACGCCTGCTCCACATGTAAAAACACAACGACTGCCCAAAGAAAATACTCCACTTCATTGACGAAAACAGAGCAGATCTAGTGAGCGGTATGAAAAACGTACAGCGGTTCGTATTATATCTTACTAAAAATATTTTTTAAAAGATACAGTTAGGTTTTATGCAACAAAACTACTTAGTTGGGTTTAGGAAAAGTTCGCAACATATTTGGTTAGGTTCAGGAAAAGATCATGAAATACTTTGTTAGGGTTAGGAAAAGATCGTGAAATACTTCGTTGGGGTTTGGAAAAGATCATGAAATACTTTTTTAGGTTTAGGAAAAGATTGTGAAACACTTTGTTAGGTTTAGAAAAAGATTGTGAAATACTTGGTTAGGTTTAGGAAAAGATCGTGAAATACTTTGTTAGGTTTAGGAAAAGATCGTGAAATACTTCGTTGGGGTTTGGAAAAGATAGTGAAATACTTGGTTAGGTTTAGGAAAAGATCGTGAAATACTTGGTTAGGTTTAGGAAAAGATCGTGAAATACTTCGTTGGGGTTTGGAAAAGATCGTGAAATACTTGGTTAGGTTTAGGAAAAGATCGTGAAATACTTGGTTAGGTTTAGGAAAAGATCGTGAAATACTTACATATTGCTTTTGTGCAATAGCTACATATTACAGCGCATTCATTTACGTAGGTATAGCTACGAACGCTCTGTGAGAACAGCTTGCAAAAATTAAGTGAACAAATCGGCAGATCGGTGAATCCTCTGGGTTTTTACCGACTCATCGAGGAGAGATTCACTGTCCTCTAGTTGTTGCTGCATGATAACTCGCCATCAGTGTAAAGCCCATGAGATCTGAAACATCAGCATATCTCTTGTTGCAGTGCCTTCTTTCACCAGCAGCATGAATGGAGGACTTGTGGAGTTTTATTCTCTTCTTCTTCTGCGCTCTCATCCACATCTGTCCCATCTCTTGTCTCTGAGTGTGTAATGAACACTGGCCCCCTACATGTTAGCTGAAATCCTGGTTTATGTCCCCGCTGTCTGGGTGTTGACGTCACGCTGACTAGAATGCTTTTCAAGCAGCAAGAGAAAGACACAATGGCAATAGAGCCAGCGTCCATAAACTTTAATCTGCAGGATATTTCCTCCATTCTCTCTCTCTCTCTCTCTCTCTCTCTCTCTCTCTCTCTCTCTCTCTCTCTCTCTCTCTCTC